GAACCATGATTATTGGTTATTGCATTTTATGAATTTGTTTATTATCTGGTGCCCTGCATTTCCTGACCATTCCAAACAGTTCCTGTGTACCAGCTTTATTTATTTATTTATTTATTACTTTCGTCTTACTATCCCGCTCTAATCCCCGAAGGGGTCTCTGAGCGGCTGTACAGTTATCCATTATCCCTATCTAAGGCCACAATTCATCAGGGGTTACTTCATTACTTCAATAAATACTACTTTGCAATAAACGTGTATTCAATTGAATGTGTGGAGGATTCGGACAACACCTGACTCAGATTAGAACTATGCAAATACAAATCCCCCAAATCCACACAATTTTCACTTAGACCTTTATTGGAGTCACCGAGGCCTGGCTTGAAGATGATACTGATGGAACTAAAGAATTTACGGTATGACTTTGTGCACCGTCGGTGCCACTTTTGTGCTGAGCTGCTACAAACAGGCAGATCTCACCTGCTAGATGAGCGCACTAGAAAGACCGTAAAGCTGCGGTCCCCAAACTTTTTGAAACTGCGGACATTTTTGGAATTCTGACATAGGGTGGTGGGATACAGCTGCAAAATGGATGCCTCAGGAGCTGCCGCAGGTTACCTTCAGTCACACTGTGAAGATCCTTGTGCTGTGTTGGCAGCTGATACCAAAGCAACATTTAAAAAAAAATCTTCACACCCAATCAAATCTCCAGTGGCCAATCAGAACACTTGCTGGGCAAAAGCCCCATCTGACCCCACCCCCTTCTGGAAACATTTGGTAGGTTCCAGGAAAGGTATCTGAGGACGCCATGTTGGGGAACCCTGCCATAGAGGAGGAGAAGAGGAGGAGGAGGAGGAGGAGGAGGAAGGGGTTGGATTTATACCCTGTCTTTCACTACCCAAAGGAGTCTCAGAGCAGCTTACAATCTCTTTTCCCTCCCCTTCCCCAAAACAGACACTCTGTGACATAGGTGGGGCTGAGAGAGCTCTTTTGAGAACTGCTTGTGAGAGAACAGCTCTGAAAGAACTTGTAACTGACCCAAGGTCACACCAGCAACTGCATGTGGAGGAGGAGTGGGAAATCAAACCTGGTTCTCCCAGATTAGAGTCCGCACTCCTAACCACTACACCAAACTGGAAGCAAAAAGGGGCCTCCACACTTAGGTGTCCAGGATGGTTATGCAACATTTTGTTATTCCCTGTTCATGATGGCACAACAAAGGCAAGTGAGAAAGTTCAGGGCCCATTTCAAGCCAGGCTGTTTTGTATGGGAGAGGCTCTGCCAAGGCAGCAGATGAGAACATTCAAAGGCCTAACCTCTTTGGTTTGGAACCCTCAAGACTATTATTTCAGCCAGAGTAGTGCCAAGCAAGCAAACTTGCTTGTCATTGCCCCCCCCCCGCCCCGGTCTCTCGGGCTGGCAATGTTTGGAGCCTCTGCCAGATACATGGCAGAGTTAAATTCAACAGGTGAAGTCTTTCCCAGTATGCCACAGAAACTCTTCCTGAAAAAGGCATCAACCTTTTTGATTTTCTTCCCCTCTTCTATGCAGGAAGCATATCAGGGTTTTGTTTGTTTGTTTTTTAAAAAGAGGTTCTAATTAGGGATGGGCATGAACCAGAAAAGTCTGGTTTCATTCAGGGTTTGGGGTGTACCCAAGCTGAACAAAGAAAAAAAATGTCTGAACTGGCTGCTTCGGGCCAGTTGGAGCAGGATTTCTCCTGGCAGCTGGGAAGGGGGGAGGGATTGCCCGGGAAGGGTTAAATGGCTGCGAACCATTTAACGAATTCCATTTCACTTCCCCCCTTTCCAAGTGGGGGGAGCAAAACGGAGGGGTTTAATGGCTCACAGCCATTTAAACCTAACAGCTGATGGGCAGACCCATCACGCTGTTAGGTTTAAATGGCTGCAAGCCATTAAACCTGTTTGTTTCGCTCCCCCCTACTTGGAAGCCAGGGGGAGCAAGAGGGATCGTGAAATGGCTTGCGTCTATTTCAGCCTAACAGCTGATGGGCGCACCAGCCCCACGGTTAGGCTGAAATGGAGGCAAGCCATTGCAGTTATCTCTTTTGCTCCCCCTCATTTCCCATCGCAAGCCACATGAACCTCCTGATAACCATGTGGAGGGTTATTGAGACAAGGTCCCACAAACCTGGGTTCATGAACCACAGCCAGGACGATTTTAATAGTGATTTTAGGGTTGTAGACAGGTTTGTGGCCATCCCTAGTCCTCATGCTCCGTACTGGTTTTTGAGAATCGGTTTAGTAATTGAGTGGCTTGGCCGTAGTAGTGAAATACACAATGCCCTGTGGACAGTCTTTAAGTATATTGTGTTTGCATTGGAAAAATCATTGGGCGTGATATTTTGGTAATCCATTTCCTGCCATTCCAGAAATTGAAACAAATCTCTTTTGTTATAGTAGAGTAAAACGGGATTAAAAAAAAAATTGCTGAGAAAGTTTGCATCAGTTTAGAGTCACTATTGGCAAAGAAATACATTTTCACTTACCTTGGCCTTTTTTTCTTCAGTGTGCTGAACAGCTGTTCTCGGTCTCCTTCTCGTCCTGTAATATTAAAAATGTTGTCGTCGTTGCTTTTTATATTTCTGTTGCCTTTTATCAGCATTTACAGGCACGATTAAGATGAGGGCAATTATCAAAAATACTGTGGGTCCAGCCAACTATTTAACATCTCTTGCAGTCAAAGGGTTTAGGAGAGCCTTCACTCTGGCGAGGTGCTCTGCCCCCCCTTCTGCTGTACTGGAAGGAAAATACAAGAATACTCCTTTCTCAGAAAGGCTTTGTACCTGCCCATTAAGGGAGGCTGAGACTACAGAGCACATGTTTTTTAGATATCCGTATTATATGGTGGCGCGTAACAAAATCACTCTGCTGACTGAACAAATTCCGGGTCTTTCCGAAAAAGCTAGACTCGAGTTTCTTCTATCTGATAGAAACCCCAAAATTACCCACCAAGTAGCCAGTTTCTGTATGGTGATACTCAGATCACGGAAACTCTAAGGTAGCTAGTTAGATATAGTTCTTTGATATTAGATTAAATTTTAATTTGCTTTTAATGTGTCACTGATGTATCTTAAAATCTTGGAATATTGTAAAGATGTACTTTTTTTTGTATGATTGGTCTAAGGACTGTAGAAATAAATTGATTGAAACAGGCATGGTTGGTTCCTCCTTAGATTAGACCTTGTTCATGTTTTCCTCCCCTCCCCCCCCCCATTGCATTACTTGGCATTGTTGAATTTATACATTGTCCTTAAATGCAAAACCTTTATATATCTCACAAAATTAACAGGTTTTAGCAAAAAAAAAAAAAAGGTCCAGACAGTCAACCCAGTTCTTCTGATACTGGAGCTATTAAGTTTTTGTATTTAAGTGTTAAGTATTTGGAGGATGATAGAAACTATCAAGTTCGGACCCCTTCGGACCAGAGCCCTTTCTCAAGAACAAAAGAGGTCTACACCAATGTTCCCTCTAAGCTGTGAAGTCTTGTGAGCAAAAATTCTGCTTTGTGAGCTACTGGCATAAAAGTTGTGAGCAAGCGATTTGGCTACTACTTAAACCAGTTTGCCCTGGAGCCAATCTCCCTGAGCTGAGACAAAAATCTGTGAGCCGGAGGCAAAAAAACTGTGAGCTAACTCACACTAACTCAGCTTAGAGGGAACACTGGTCCACACTGTAGCTGAAATTGTCATGTGAAGTCATTTACCCTGCCAGAATGTGTGCCCTTTCTTCAGCCTCAGTTTTCTGTTCTCGTCAGAAGTTGGGGGCCTGGGAACATTACAGAGACCTCAGCTCACTAGAGACAGAAGTGGACAAGCCTTCCTTGGGCTGCCAGTGTCCTGCTGAGGGTAGGAGATCTTCCACTCCTAGTTCCTGTTGCCCAGTGCCACACAGCTGGGCAGCCGGAGGAAATGTGGGGGGCAGAATTGACATCCCCAGTGTGATGCCCTCCCTTCCAGGCACAACCCAGAAATGACACGGTTGTGCTGGGGGGATGCTCTAGCATGTCCCCTTGGCATGAAGGTGTCACTTCCGGGTCATGCCAGATGTCATTGCACCCAGGTGCTGATCACACACACACACCAAAACAGAAGTCTCCAACTATCTCCTGACCACTTACTAACCCATGCCTGGTAATCCTAAAATTTCCTCTGCCCTGACACACACACACACACACACACCCGCCAAAAGGCTCATAGCAGTGGATCCCCCATTCCAGCATACAGTGGATTCCCAGAGGTCCATCCGTGGCTGTTAGCCACAAGGTATAGATAGGAACTCTCAGTCTGGGGCAAGGGATGCTCTGTATTCTTGGTGCTTGGGGAGGGGGCAAGAGTGGGAGGGCTTCTGGTGTCCTGGCCCCACTGCTGGACCTCCTGAGGGCACCTGGTGTTTTTGGCCACTGTGTGACCCAGAGTGTTGGACTGGATGGGCCTGATCCAGAATTGGCTTCTCTTATGTCCTTATGTTCTTAAATGTTTCATTTCCTTTGTTTCATGATGGAGTAAAATTGTATGTGGAGTTCATTGCACAGGTAGTTCCTGGCTTTGGGAAACAGGGCTCATTTGAAGGGTTGCTCGCCCGGGGTGGGTGGGGACAAAACAGACAATCGATACCCTGCATTTTGCCTACGGTAAAAGCTGTTGGGGTCCATCACTGAACCTGTCAGAACACACTGGAGTTCCAACCCAGCTGAAGCTGGGTGGGTCTGCAGTCACACCGGCCCAAATTTGCGGGCTTCTACCCGGCTGGTGGTAGCTGAGTAGATGCTGAGCCTATAGTTGGATTGGAACAGCCTCAGACTCTGCATAGATCCTGAAAAGTCACTCAAAACGACAATCTGCTGCTGTTCAGAGCAGGAGGTGGGAGTGTGGCTAGTGGTAATCGTAGAATACAACAACCTGACAGAATATGAGAGAATAGAGGATTTGGATTCTAATAACTGATTTCAGCTAATTTTCCTTCTCTTCTTTCTTCCCTTAGCACTGGGACAAATAATGCTGTATGTAGATGGGATGAACGGCGTAATAAATCATAACGAGACAATCCAGTGGTTATACACGCTCATTGGGTCAAAGGTAAGGAGAATCCCATCTGTCGGCTGTTTGAGGAATTGCCCACTACCTGTTAAACCTGTGTTTGCCTGAGCAGGTTGAAAAGAGGCCATAAAGATAACTCGAAGACGCTTTGTTAGATTAGGCAGGCCTGCAGTGAAGTTGGCTCCTCTCTTCTGTTTCAAACTGCATATAATAAACTTTCCAGCTGCAACATGTTGCCAGATCACTCCGCCCCATCAGCGCGCGAGCACTTGGACTTCTGTTTCATTGGATTCCTGTAGCCACAGTAGCTGGAAGTCACACAGCTGTCTCTGTGTTACCTCCCAGCTCACAGTGAGAGTTTTGCATACGGGAAAGAAGCTTGGTGAGCCTTGCTTGTACAATTTGGCTGGATCGGGGATGCCCGGCCAGGACTTATTTTCCTCTGTGTGGGTGGGTCCCCAGCAAAGACAGGGGTGTGAGAGCCAGTGGGGTGTGGTGAACTAGAACCTGGAAGGTGGCGGTGGTGGGAAATTACCATATCATGACACTCAGCTTATCATAACCCGCAGGGTTTTCAGGACAAGAGGCATTCAGAGGTGGTTTGCCATTGCCTGCTCTTGTGTAGCAACCCTGGACTTCCTTGACGGTCTCCCATCCAAATACTGACCCTGATTAGCTTCCAGGACCTGATGAGATCAGGCTGCCCAAGTCAGGGCTCGACCTGGAAGACCTCGGTTCAACACACACACACACACACCCCGCTCATTTGTGACACTCGCTTGGGTGATGCTGGGCCAGGCGTCTTCTCTCAGCCCGTCTTTCCTCCAGGTTGCTGTGAGGATAAATTGGGGAAGGGAAAAACATGTAGACTGCCCCGAGCTTTGAAGGAAGATCAGGAGAAAAACATATAGTCATAGGCTACAACACTTCCACTTTTAGGAAGACATCCCACTTTATTAGCTAGTGGCAAGTACTGATGGGTGAAGGAGAAAAGCCATGTCCCTAGAAAGCACACAAGGTTCCCCTTTTAATGAGCACCCTTCTCTGCTGTAAAATGCACTACAGTTGCTCTAACAGAGAATATATCTGGGACTCCCTGGGAGCTCTTTAACCCCCCCCCCCCGAGCATTAGTGCCTGCTCCTTACACTGTGCCTCTCCTTTCCTTTTGTTTCCTGCCTCTATCTCATGCAAAATAACTTCCCAATTACATTATTAATACTGCAGCAAGGGAATAATCCTTGGCATACAGTGCCCTAGAGAGTTGTCCATGGTCTTATGCCTCTTTGACAGATGCTGGGTCGAGCTCACTGGGGAAGGGGGAGATGACGTTAAGAGGCCACTCTGCTGACGAGCCAATAACTGGCCAACTGGAAGCGCCATCAAGTCATAGCCAACTTATTGTGACCAAATTTAGAGTTCGGTGGCACCTTTAAGACCAGCAAAGGTTTATTCAAGGTATGAGCTTCTGTGTGCATGCACACTTTTTCAAATGCACATGAAAGCTCATACCTTGAATAAACCTTTGTTGGTCTTAAAGGTGCCAGTGGACTCAAACTTTGTTCTGCTGCTTCAGACCAACGCAGCTGACCACCTGGAACTATTGTTATGGTGACCATGCAGGGTCTTCACGGCAGGAGTTTTGAACAGATATGGTTTGCCACTGCCTTCCTCTGCATAGCAACCCAGGACTTCCATCCAGGTACTAACCAGAGCCCAGCCCTGCTTAGCTTCCAAGATCTGACCACGGTGGCTTTTCTTAAATGAAAGCCATTTTCTCATACTCAGAAAAACGGTAGCTTATCCTGCTAAAAAAAAAGACAACTGTTATAAGGATAAATGGTAAAGTACTTTAGCGGTTTGTTGTGTACATTCACTGTTCAAGTCACGTCACCCATTCCATGCATATAAACACAACTAGATTTAATTGACTGTGGTTTTAGATAATCAGATTATAACAGAAAGTATCTCAGATAGATTATGGGAAATGGTTGTTTGTAGTGTTCCAGAACAGAACATTTCAAGAAAATGTATGTTATTCTCATTTTTGTATGCCATGTTTTTGTGTTAGAAGCATCCATTTTGGGTCAGATTCTGACCAGAGTTACAGGTCAAGTAACAGGATTCAAAAACAAAGATTCTGTTGTGTAAGATTTAAAAATGCAGGAGGGTTATTTGAGGGTGGCAGGCTTAACCTGACTATTGGAGTGGAGATTTGGCAGGCAATTTTAACTAGTACTGCTAGACCACAGGTCTCCACCTTTGCTGGTGCCCACCAGGTGTTTTTAGAAAGTGGGCGGAACCAGGTTGTGCAGATTTTAAAAATCATTGCCTTGGCAGCAGCTGCCACCACAGCACAAGCCTCTTTAATGTGTGACTGAAGGTAAGTTGTGTCAGTCATTATGTAGCAGGCTCCACTTACCGTGGCAGCCATTTTGTGTCTGCGTCCACCAAGCGGTGCCAGAATTCCAAAGGTGTCCACAGACTCAAAAAAGGTTGAGGACCCTGGATTATTATGGTCTTTGCGGGCCAATCTGAAGAAAGTTAGGAAAATTTAGTTGGTATAAAAGAACTACATTGACTGCCGGTTTGTTTTCAGGCCAAACCAGATTACCTAGAGGATCACCTGCCCACCATTTGAGGAAATACTTGGAAGCCTTGCTCCAAGTTACCTCATTTTCTGAAGTAAGGTGGGCAACTGAACTACAGGAGCTGGTACCAATTCCTTCTGGATTACCAGCCATTTATTCCCTGAGGTCATCATCAGGTCATTACAGTGACCTAATTGTCAGGCACAGAATCGTTTTCTGTCTGTCCCCTTTGTGACTGTGCAGCCAAATACATCCTTTAAACTGTCTTTGCGAGGATATGTAGCCTGCTTTTGTGCTTGCACAATCAGCATCCTCTAGGATAAAATGGTTGCAAGAACTGACTGTAAGATTAATTGGGTTCATGAGTAGACACTGAAGGCACATAAAGGCACCTAAGTAGTAAGTCTCAACTCAAATATCTCAAATAGATTTTTAAAAACGACCTACCTTTTAAAAACTGTTGGTACAGCAGCAGATTTCAAGCAGTGAGGAGGGCAGCAGCTGCAAGAAAGTAGTCAGTAAACATATACACAGACAGATCTAAATTCATTTGGATGCATTTGAACAGCTTGGAAAATAATCAGCTCACTTTGATCGACAAGCCAAACCCATGGGTTATCAAGGATCCCTGATTAATTTGGCACATAGTACCAAGTTAAGACACATCTCTTTTTCCAAAGCATTTCTTTGACTTGTTGATTTTGTGTGTGTGTGTGTGAGTGAGAGAGAGAGAGAGAGAGATATGCTTTGCTCTTTTAGTGCTCTACTAACATACATTCTTATTTATTATTGATGTTGTTAGCTTTGCTGATATTTTAAAGTTCTCACTGTTTTTTCTTGTTGAGTATGTATTTTTTAAAATAATTTTTATTTTGAAATTTTTGAGGAAATACAGAATAAAGAAAAGGGGTAAGGGGAAAGAATAAAAGGTAAAATTACCAAAACATAGTATAAAGGGCATTTTTTGCAAATATAAAGGACAATCCTTGATTCAAATACTTGAATTTTTAGGAAAATTATATAACATTATAATTTTGAAAACTACTATAACAACCTACTCAACATTTGACCATTTTTTCATAATATATTAACATTTTTATCCTATCTTATCAGTTATACGATAAACCATGAATAACCTCATAAAATTGGTGTATAGTTTTAGCATAACAGTTTGTTGTGATAATACTCATGCAAAAGAAGTTGATTATGTATTTTTGACTTATGTGTTTTTTAATTTTTATCGTGAGCCACATTTAGAATCAAGTGTGAGTTCACATCTAAATAATTAACTGCGCTGAGTTATTCAGGTTATTATTTTATATGATGTGTATAATAGTGAGCGTAAAAGGGGGGGGGGAGCTACAGGTTTGAACAGGCATACAAAAATATCCTGGGGTGATTTAAGCACGAAAGAAAAAGGCACCTGACTGAGATGTTTTAAAGGCTGAATGGAGATGCGTCTTACATGGAGGACACATTGGGTTGGATCCTACCAATTTTCCAGTAGCTCAGGTAGGAGGAGGGACAGTCTCTCCCGGCTTCTGTCTTTACTGCAGCCCCTTCATCCCACAAGGGGTTTTGCTCATGCAGGTCCTGGGTGTCTCCCATCAAAGCTTGGGAGGGGCTGTAGCTCACTGGAAGAGGTTCTGCTTTGGCATGCAGAAGGTCCCAGGTTCAATCCCCGGCACCTCCAGTTAAATGGATCAAGTAGCAGGTGATGTGAAAGACCTCCGCCTGAGACTCTTGAGAGCTGTGGCCAGAGTAGGCAGCACTGACCCTGGTGGACCCTGGGGCTGATTCAGCATAAGGCAGCTTCCCTGTGTGTTCAAGGTAAAGCCTTTTCAGGGGAGAAGAGAGGCTGTTGGGGGGGAGCCAGGGAACGATGCACTCCTGCCAGCAGAACAATGGTAGGATCTAGTGCCCAAGTATGAATACTATTAAATACATAATCATTATAAAAATCATAAAATGGTTTTGTTTCTCTCGTGTCTGTGTTCTTGAAATGTTTTCTTTTAAAAAAAAAAACAACTCAGCTATGGTGGCCATGCTACCTAAAGTATCATAAGTAATTATCTTGTGCCGCCAATATTTCTGCAGTCGCCGATGAGAAATAACCACATTAGTTCTGTTTTTTTAGCTCTTGCAAAGCTTTGCTGCAGAGAGACAGGAAAGATAATGGGACATATACATAGCCTAGAGTTTCTTCTTTGTCGCTGTATCGCCCAGGCTTCCTGTTGCAAGCTAAACAGGAGGCCTTTTTTAAATATTTGGAGCCTGTCTCTAAAATTTACATTACATTCTCCTTGTTATGATTTCCATCCATATATTTAGAATATTGAGAGCAAGATTAGCGCCCGCCACAAATCACCACACATGTACAAACCGTGGCCGGCACAGCAAAATGATACTCAAAGTCTCCTCTGCTTAATGGGGTATATGCTCTTCTATTT